CATTCAGGACAGGAAAGTTTGACATCTGCAGATGATCGTAACACAAGAGGAGGAAAAGCACAGTCCTGTGTGTCCGCTTCTATACAACAACCAGGGAGGTAATTCCTATGGCGTAGCTCATGATGTCATCATTGTACTTGAGGTTGGCCTTCAGCCAGGGAGCCTTTCCCTAGTCATTTCTGAGCTTCGCTGACGTTTTCAAGGCAAGGATCCCAAGGGAAAGCACGATTTTAGGTCCCTGAAGAGACATGCTATTTTAACTTCATCTAAACGCAAAGAAATGGCTTTGTAGAAAGTGTGACAGCCTCCTGTAAGGAAGCACGGTGTAGTGGTGTGCCCCTGACTGTTTGGGAGAGCTGGCTCCCCTGCGAAGGATGGATCCATCTCACAGGAAGGCTCCCTTGGCAACTGAGAATAGCCAGGCACAAAATCTGATAGGACCTTAGGTCATCAGCGTGAGTTCTTTTCAACTGACCCGAGACAAAGGATGGTCCTGTTCTTTAATTTCATTTGGCTTGGATGGTTCTTTCTGAATCTTTCACCAGCTAACAGTTTTTGTTTTACATCTATAAAAGATGGATGACCTAAAGGGGAACAGGGAGAGAGCAAAATAGGAGTTCCTGTTTTGTTTATTATGATTAGGTCAAGTGCCCTCCAATTGCAGGATTCTTTCCTCAGTCTGGGTGTTGGTTAAATACATAAAGTGTATAAGACTGTGTTGCGCTTCAAGCAGCATCTGCGTGGCCCCCTGGTAATCCAATGCAGTCTGGAGAAGCACTCACTGGAGACTATCTCAGCCTTGCATAAACAAACATTTGGAGGAATAGAGAATGAACACAACCACAAAACAGGGGCAAGGAGCAGAGGATGCAATTGTCATGGTGACAGAGACCAGGATGTAGGAGATCAGGAGGAAGGGAGAGAATCTTAGAAATCGGGATTTCACTGGTGTGTGTGTGTGTGCGTGTGCGTGTGCGTGTGCGTGTGCGTGTGTGTGTGTGTGTGTGTGTGTGTGTGTGTGTGTGTGTGTGTAATAGTATGCCATTTAGTAAGAATGAACAATAAGGATACTCATTAAAAGGTAATAAGTAATTAAATGGCTAATTTTTTGTGTAAAATGGGATACAGAAAGCTCCGTTCACTGTATCTAAGAGATCTACAAGTCTATACTACACCAGATATAAAGGTTCTCATTTAGGTAAACTTGGGGACACTGGGCAGATAAATTATAATCTCTTCCACCATAATGTACACTTTCTAATGGACACACACACACACACACACACACACACACACACACACACTTCCTCTCCCAAAACTGCAATTTGGAAAATAGACTTGTATAAAAATCTATTTTTTCACTAAATATAAAAGTTCATTTCCATAAGAAATCATAGTTAATGATTCTTGAAAGCAAATTTAGAATTAAATTGGACAATTACAAACTGAATTAGACAGTTAAAATAAAACATTAGGTGAGTAAATTGTGAAAGAGTTTCTTTAAAGCTATAGGATTCAATTCTCGGCAAAGGGAGCCAAGCATTTCTTTATTACTCTAGTATTTTGGAAAGGAGACAGATCGTTGGGTAGGTAAGACAAAAGACTAGAAATCCACAGGCATTTCAGTTTCCAGTCCAAGACAGCTGCTGGGTGACATCACTTAGTGTGGAAACAGCCATGCTTGGAGGGAATTAGCAGATGAAAAGCTGCAACACTTGATGTGGGTGTGTAAATGGGCTTTCTCTGTCTCTTTGCATTCCCTTTATGGAAAGGCACACCTAAAAGTAAAGTCACCCAGGGCAGCATGTATAGAGTGTAAAGACACAAGAAGACACTCAAGACAGCGAAACTGGTGGAGGAAGGCAAGCATTTCAAGATTCAGATCATGTTGCTGGCCAGATGCAGTCTCTGAGGAAACAGCTAGAAGGACTGTTCAACTCTCAGCTGCCTTCCAAGGAATCAAGAGCTGGCTATGGGCAAAGGAAATGCCAGGGAAATGCCAATTTCTGTCATACTAACATCTTTCTCGAGGCTGAGCCTGCACCTGGGGAATAGGAACCCCTGGCTGTGGGGACCAGTCGGCCCTGAGGGGTTGAAATTTGTTTCTTCAGAATGGCTGAGGGAAATCTGAGAGGAGAGCAACACAGACACCCACTAATTAGAAAATGTCCCGACATCAGAGACACCGTTGCAATGAGAAGCGGAGTCATCCTTGGTGTGGCTCCCAAGGTGACCTCGGAGAAATGAAACACCTAAAAACGTGTCTGGAAGTGATTTTGTTAGGGACAGCAACTGCTGGAGGTAAGGAGGAAAATGAAGGAGACACTCTCAAGTGAGGTGCTGTAAGTGAGAAGTCCTGGTGGGGGCCAGTGGAAGGAGGGACGTTCTGGAACACAGTCACTGTCCTGTTTCGGACCAAATAACCGTCAAAGGCTGCCTTCCTCCCCGGTGGCAGGGTGGCGTGGTTTAGGATAACCACTAATGTCTCCTACAGCCTTAATGGGCTCCTTTCTGCATTTCTAATTTTCATAGAGGCAGCTTCCTGCAAAGTAAGTAATGAATGTAAGATGACACTCTTTGGGGAGTTGTAAAGACAATCTAGGAACACGTCATTTCAGAGTAACAAACTTCACAGCCGGAGACAATTTCCATTGCATAATGTGTTTAGCCTGGAGCTGGTTTTCTCCCCCCCTCCCCCATGTCTACCCGGTTGTGTCATTATTTTACTTACCTCATTGGGGAAATCATTGTTTAAAAACTGAATATAAATGATGAAATACTCTTCGATTTTATCTTTCGCAGAATACTATCTTTCTTCCCTCACTTCCCGTCATAGAAGAGTTTGGCCCCAATGGGTGATGAATTGCTCCAAGTAGTCTGACAGTCCCAGAGGAAGGAATGAGTAAAAATAACCAGCTGATTACCAATAGGGAGCAAATTGGCCACTTGAGACCTCAGTGGCTAGAATGACAAATGAGAAGACGAAAATCCTCATCAGGGGACCAGACTTTCTGATTAGTCCAAGTGCTGATGACTGCTTCCCATGCCTCTCCCTCCCCGCTGTGGGATGATTTACATCTGATTGGACATCATTTTGTATTTGGGGCAGTCATTTCTAAAAGGGTGTTTGGAAGACTTTGAAGTACTTAATTACAACCAGGAGGCATTTAGGGCTGAGCTGTGAAATGGATGCTTCTCCACGTTAGGCTCGTGGAATGTTCATTTATAGAAAGAGCCTGGTTGGTTTGGTCTGAGTATTCATGCTATCACTCCGAAAGACAACTTTCTAAAGTCTTCTCCACAGTGAAAGAAAATAGAAGTGAGAGGAATATTCTTAGCTAAGGCATCCATATCCAAGGCAGGCTCCATGTTTTCGGCATATATGGGGACAAACTGGGCTGCTGTTAATAGTCCATTACTAAAAACGCCTGAGAACTTGGGCTCATCTGAAGAATGGCCTTTTCTTCTTTCTTCTTTTTTCTCCCTTCTTTCCTTTCTTTCTCTCTCTCTTTCTTTCTTTCCTCCCTCTCTCCCTTCCTCCCTCCCTTCCTTCTCCCTCCCTCCTCCTCTTTCTTTCTTTCTTTCTATCTTTCTTTCTTTCTTTCTTTCTTTCTTTCTTTCTTTCTTTCTTTCTTTCTTTCTTTCTCTCTCTCTCTCTCTCTCTCTCTCTCTCTCTCTCTTTCTTTCTTTCTTTCTTTCTTTCTCTCTTTTTAACCAACCTTCATTTAAACTGACCCATCTATAATGAGCTGTACACCTGCCTGGTTGTACTAAGTGACAGGATGCATGAAGAGAAAAACAGGACCAACCACTAATCCTCACATGAACATAGCGCCATGAGCTATACGAATTGGGAAGAAAAGTGGATGGGGATTTTAACATGGCAATCAAAGGAGGATCCAGGGAGAAGAAGTGATCCCTGCTTTGAAAAAAGGATAAAACTGTATTTCTAAAGGGGAACCGCTTGATTAAGTAGCAGTGCTGATATTTTTTAGTTTTGTATTGTGTGTGTTTATATAATGTGTATTGTGTGTATGGTGTGTGTGTGTAGTGTGTAGTGTGTGTGTGTGTGTGTGTGCTGGTACACAGGATACTGTATATGTTTGGAGGGTAAAGGAGACCTTTGTGTGTCCATCACTTTGAGACAGACTTACTACTTTGAGACAGGGTCTCCTATCAAACCTGGAGCGAGGCTGGTGGCCAGCAAACCCCAGTGATCCTCTCATCATTGGCCACCCCCAGGCCTGGGGTGACAGGCATACACAGTCACACCCCACTTTTTATGTGAGTGCCAGGGATTTGGACTCAGGTTCTCCTGCTTATGAAAATAAGCACTACTACCCACCTGTCAATCTTCCCTGCCCAATTGTACTGACTTAAAGAAAAAAATAGTGTGGCGTAGAAATGTCTCTTTGGGAAAGTCATGTGGAGGACACAATTCTGTCAACATGAAAATGGACACAAATGTCGAGTGTAAGCACATGCTTCCAGTACTGAGAAGGAACTAGGTTTGATCATAAAAGTACCAGAAAAATACTGAGTGTTCTGGGTACAGCTAGAACCATTTGAAAGGGCTTCACCTTAATCACAGAAGACACCAGCAAAACAATGTTCTGTGGGACTTTTCCAACAGTGAAACCAATAGGCCAGATTTCTGTTTTGATTCTTTGGTTTGAGGTCAGGGATATAAAAGAAAAGAATGAGCTGGCATAGTACATGATGTATAGATCCATTCAAGAGACATGGTTCCAGGGGTGAAGAAAGCTGGACCACACAGAACCTGCATGTGACTTCCTCAGGTGGCTGTGGGACCCCCGGAAATAATCCAGTGTAAAAGGCAGCAATGAATAATTAATTGAAAGAGGACCAAGTTCAGGGTCACAGGACATGGGCAGGCAACTTGGTGTTATTGTGTCTGTTTTCCCTCACCCGAATAGGCAAATGTAGGTTTTGTGAATAGGAATAATTAATGGAAGTTTTTATTTTTGTGTGTTTTTCAGGGAGAAGAAGCTACAGCATTACTTCTGCAGATTCTCAAAGGAGTCCATGTTTCAAGATGAGATGGGTACCAGTGGGTCATGTTCCTTTACTTTAGAAGAGGTAATTCTGAGATCCTGAGGAGGACCTCCAAAGCTGGAATGACTCCTGAACTATTTGACACTGTTGTGTTATTTCCTGATGTTGCCTCCTTGCAGGAAGCCTACGGCTATTCTATTTGTCAGAATGAGAAGAAAAGGGACTCCTTCTTGTCAACCCAGCTTGGGATTCCTGGACAGTTTAAGAAGCCTCATTGATCAGATCAATGGTCCCATTCCCAGGGACAAACCACTGAAAGGCACTTCCTGCTCATCCCAATTTGACATGGGCAGTGAGTAGTTCCTGATAGCAGCCCTTTCTGGAAACTACCGCCTCACACACATAACCCCCGCTTCCTTCTTTTAGTAGCCGCATCAGCGGTTCTTCTCTGTGGTAGGTTACAGAGAAGAATAACTAGATAGTGTCAGGGAAAGCATTTGGGAAGCTGATTTGCTTCTGCTTCTCTGGTTATCCCTCTAAACAGGCAATGTTTTTGTTGAATGGATACAATCAGTGGGTTCTTGGATTTGGTGTACTTAGAGTGATGTGCCACAGGCCCATTGGCACATCCGTGTGAGCAGTTTGAGATACCGCTGTTGTGATTGGGAAGCACCACTGCTCTACAGCTCCAGCGCAGAGTCTAGCAGAGTACAACGATGCAGGGCTCTCATTAATGACTTTCTGCTTACTGCGTTCCGAATGAAGTTTTAAGGGATAAAATCTTTACAATGAAATAAGGTCTCAAGGAAAGATTAGGCTCTAGTAAAAGCAAGTTATGTTTTAAGAGTGGTTTTCTATATTCAACACTGTTGGCTTTCATGTACACTTAGGGAAATGTGTTATACTTAGCTGGCTCATACTCCTCAAGAAATAAGAATGGACATTATACTTTAATATTGATAAGTTGCATACACAGAAGTCAACACTTTTGGTGATAGAAGGTGACTATAAATGCCAGTGAGTTTGTTTTCTCTTTCTTCACAGTACCATCATGCTTAATTAAAAAGAAAAAAAAACTAAAGATTTTTTAATTTTAATTTTTTAAATTTATTTTTTAAAGATATGATGGATTACAGCAATGAGGGTGATTAGGGTTTCCACCTTCCATTCCGCCTCCACCATTATACTTTCTTCTAAGAAGTCATGATGCTCCTTACTTTCCACATCATGAATGCCAAACTGAGAGAGGACTGAGGGGTTGGGGAGATGGTTCCGTCGGTAAAGTATGTGCAGAATAAGCATGAGGACCCGAGTTCCATTTCCAGAACCCACATAAAAAAAGCCAGGAATGATGGCATGCATTTGTAATACCAGTGCTGAGTGGGTAGAGACAGCTGGGTCCTGGGGCTGGGCTTGCTGACCATCCAATCTGATTGAATAGATGAACCACGGGTTCAAGTGAGGGTCTTGTCTCAGAAAACAAGGTGAATGCCTCCTGAAGACTTATACCTGCGGTTGATCTCTGGCTTCCACAAATGTGCAGGTGCCCATGTGCACTCACATAAACATGCAAACCCGTATCTCACTCAGGGCACTTAAGTAGTCCAATTTAGTTGACTCATAATGTCCTACAGAGAGCATGGTCAACAGTGACTTCATTTCTTTCATGAGCACCGAGCTATCTGAGAGTTCTCTATATGGCATCAGCAGAAAAAAACAGACTTATGCGTCTACAGTGTCTTTCTTCTATTGACAGTAATAAGGAAAGCTGCCAACAACCCTCAAGGTCATCTTCCACTGAGCATCAGAATTCTTACTGTGCCCAAATGCTAAGAATTGAAAAGGGAAATGAGATGTGTGAAATGCAACTTGAGCCCAGAGCCATAGCATAACATTCGGGAGTTTATAAATAAACAAAATGTTAAACTCAACCTCCCATGCTCATATACCACTGGGAAGACACCAATAAATCTCCTTACATTGTTCCATGTCAAATTCACTCTTCATTTGCAAGTTAGATGAGACCTTCTGCTCTAAGACCTTCCTTCTAAGTCAGGGCTCTATTTTTTCCCAAGCCACCTAATCTTTTTCCTCATCACTGCTTATGTTCCAAGAGGAGCTGGCTCCATTTGTATTTATTGTGACAATGATTTACTATTCTAAACAATTACTATTTACCATTACTAAAAACAATTCTGTATATAAGAACCTTTTTATCCCCTCCTCCTCCTTTCCACCCTCCTTCTTAAATAAAGGAATTTGATTCTACTGTGGTGACTCAGGACTAGCCCTGGGGTCAGATTCTTATCGCAGATAATGCCAGTGAGGAAGCATGGAAACCATTATGAAGGATATAAACCATAAACTTAGCTTATCTCTCCTGAATTCTCAGGGACCTCTGAGAATGAGAGGATTTGTCTGTTGATGGTTTTCCCAAATAAAAACCACCCAAGGGCACTGATGTCATGTGTCAACATCAACAAACACTTGCAGTGTCCAGGCCATAAGGAGTCATTGGCATTTCCAGGAGAAGATAGTGGCCATGCACTTGTTTTCCCATAGACATTGGTGGGTTCTAACATCTGGAGTCATTGGGATATTTGCAATGGCTCTTCTTTGGCATCTAAACCACACCGTCGTCATAGAGTCTCTAGACTCTCCCTAATTGTTTCTTTCTGCCCGTGGAGCAAGTTTTTACTGCAGGGGCATTCTTAAATGTCCCTTAGGGTCTCCCCAGGTCTTCAAGATCTTTGATAGGGAGGCTGTGTTCTTCAATCCAGTGCATGGACTCCTAAAAGTAGGGTGTTTTCCTTACTCATCCTTAGCAGTTATATCTCCTGAGGAGTGTGATTTTCCATTTGAAAGATAAGGAAACTAAAACCCAGGGAAGCTAGCCAGTCATCCATGAAGGAACAGATAATTGAAGGACACCTTGAATTACTTCCATTAATTTGAAATCTTGATAATGTTCTACAAAGACCCCAGCAGACTGCACCTGTATACTTTCAAGGGTCCAAAAACAGTGGGATAGATGGTGATGGCTGTTCTTGGTTGTCAATTTGACTACATCTAGAATTAACTAAAGCCCCTAAATGTTGCTGGAGGGCTTCTCTCCAGGTTCCCCAAGCCCGCAGTCCCACAATCCACTTATAAAATAATCACTCAGACGCTTATATCACTTATAAACTGTATGGCTGTGGCAGGCTTCTTGCTAACTGTTCTTTTATCTTAAATTAACCCATTTTTATAAATCTATACCTTGCCACGTGGCTGGTGGCTTACCAGAGTCTTTACATGCTGCTTGTCCTGGCGGTGGCTGCAGTGTCTCTCCGCCTCAGCCTTCCGCTTCCCAGAATTCTCCTCTCTCCTTGTCCCACCTACTTCCTGCCTGGCCACTGGCCAATCAGTGTTTTATTTATTGACCAATCAGAGCAACAGATTTGACATACAGATCATCCCACAGCACCTAAAGAGGGAACATCTGTGAGAGATTTTTTGCTTAAAGTGGGAAGATCTCCTTCTAATCTGGATTTTTGAGATGGGAAGAGACACCTCTAATCTGGGCCATGCCTTCTGCTAGAAGCCTATATACGGACATGGAAGAAGGAAGATTTTGCTCTTTGCCTGCTTGCTCTTGCCTCTGAAGCAAGTCTATTCCTTCACTGGCATTAGAGCCTACTTCTTTGGGATTCCAGTGTCTACTGAAGACCAGCTGAGACATCCAGTCTTGTGGACTGAACAACTACTAGATTCTTAAACATTCTATTCATGGACAGTCATTGTTGGACTAGCTGGACCACAGCCTGTGAGCTGTTCTAATAAATCCCCTTTCTATATAAGTAGAGATTCATTCTGTAAGTTCTGTTTCTCTAGAGAACCCTGGCTAATGCAAAGACCTTTGAGCATGAGAGAGGAAGGGATGTGAGAGAAGCAGGGTGGGCAGAGAACCGAGAGAAGGGGGAGGGTAAAACAGAAAGAGACAGAAAGAAAATGGAAAGTTGTAGGTTTAGCTCGGCTCTGTTATTCCTCTGGCTTGGGAAGTCACTATTCATATCTCTCCTTTCCTCATTTGTTAACACAGCAGGGTCAGTGAGCAAGCAGGGGCTGAGGGCTTCTAATGGGTGCACTTCATCCCATGGCCTAGAGAAATGCAATCATATGGGTTTTCTTCTGCAAAAATCTTTCCTCTTTGTCCTACTTCTTAATTTGAGAATTCCCAGAGTCTCACCCCAAACTTTCTGCTCCTTGCTGCTACCGTCTTCTTCCTGGGTGGTCTCCCCTTTTCTAGCTCTTATTTCAAAGTCCCCTTTGTCTGATATTAATGCAGCCTCTCCAGCTTCTCAGGGTTGCTGTTTGCATGGTTTATCTTTCCCTTCTTATGGCTTTCAGCCTATTTGTATCTTTGGATCTAAAGTGTGTTTCCTTTTTGCAGCGTATACTTGGGTCTTGTTTCATGTTTTAATATGGTCTGATAATCCCTGCCTTCTGACTGGATTGGGTAATTATTTGTAATTAAGGTTCAATTTACTTCTGCCACTTTGCTTTTGGCTTTCCATGCTTCAAATGTTGTTCATAGATTTTATCCCTCTTTTGTTGTCTTCCTTTATAAAGGGTAGATATTTTATAGTATGGCATTTTCATTTCTTTGATTTAAAAAATTAAAGTATGTTTTTATTAATTCTTTGAGACTGTCATACATAAATACACTGTGTTTTCAATCATATTTACCACCCCTCCTACCTCTACCTCTTTCCGTGTCTATTTCCACTCCCTGTTCCCCTCAACTTGAAGTCTTCTTCTTTTTAATAATAGAGTCCAGTTGATGCTGCCTATATAGCCATGGGTGTGGAACCACACTCCAGTGTGTGGTTATCACACTAGGAGCCACACCCTCAAAGAAAACAGACTCCAGCAGCCATCAGCTGTTAACAGCTCCTCGTCGAGGGGTGGAACTCAGGACACCTTCCCTCTCCATGCTGGAAGGTTGAGTGGCTTGATCTTGTACGGGTCTTATGCAGACAACCATAGCTGCTGCAAGTTTGCGAGGGCCCTGGTCCTGCCATATCCAGAAGGCATTGTCATCCTCCAGTCCTCCCCAACCTCTTGCCTTGATAACCCTTCTGCTCCCTCTGCCAAAGGACCAAAGGGGTGTGATCCAGGTGTCCCACTGAGGACTGAGTACTCTGGGGAAATGGGTGTGATCCAAGTGTCCCACTCAGGACTGAGCACTGTGAGGAAATGGATGTGATCCTGGTGTCCCACTTAGGACTGAGTACTCCACAGATTCTTATTCTCTGCACTTTGACTGTGAGTTTCTGCATTAACTGCTGTTTACTGCACAAAGAAACTTCTCTGAGATTTGAGAACTGTGAGGTATAAAGATGTCTGTTTACTACAATGTCCATCTAGAAAAATAATAGTAGTACATTCCCCCCTGGAGCCTGTGAGCTCCCCAACCATGGGTCCTTGGCCAGGTGTATAATATCAGGCAGGTATTTCCTCCTCTAGAGCAGGCCTGAAGTCCAATCAGAAGGCAGTTGGTTGATGCCATAGTATTTGTACCACTACTGCACCCATCAACATTTCTTGTCCCACAGGTGTTCCTGTAGCTCTAGATGTTCACAGCCAAATAAGAGTGTGGATGACTTCCTTCTCCCTACAGCCTGCATAGCATCTTCCAGGACTATGAGAGCTCACCACAGGGAGGAAGCTTCCCGGTCAGTATCAGCTTCATTCTCCATGTCCTGTGACCAAAGGGTATGGCGTCTTCAGCAATAGGGTCTTAGTATCAAGTTCTGGTGGACAAGTGTGAGTAAAAGCAGTTGCCTCTCATGTTTGGGGATTTCCCAGGACACCCCTGACCTCACCTGGTACTTGAGCTTTTTATTTTTCTTTTAAAATATTTTTTATTTTTATTTTTGATGAATCTCATACATTATATTTTGGTCATAGTCACTCCCTTCTTTCCCCTAACTCCTTCCAGATCTAGCCTCCTCCCTGTTCCTCCAACTTTATGTTCTTTAAATGTGTACATACACGCACACACACATACACACATATGGCTTTTTATTTGGTAACCCTTGCGTTCTTAGAGAAGCACTGTTCTCTCTGTAGGATAACTCCAGTTAAATCCTTTCATATTCATATATATGAAGTTTTAAATATTAACTTTCCATATGGCTTTTTCCAAATATCTGTAGTGTTAGTTAACCCTCTGCCTATCCCTCCTCTGCCCTACCCTCCCATCCCTCTCCCCACTTAAATCCCCCTCCAGAGATGTTATTCCCTTTGTTTTCTTCATATCCCCTGTGTTCTACTATTCCCATCTTCATATGGTATTGCTTCCCCCTCCCCACCGATGACCCCTTTCCTGGATTCTACAGCTATTCCAAGTTAAACACACAGATCTAAAGATTTGATGCAAAGATCTGTATAAGCGAGAACATGCACCATGTGTCTTTCTGTGCTTGGGCCACCACCCTCAGTATAAGGTTGTCATTGGCTCCATCCCTCCCTTGCCGTCTTCCTTTATAGTGAATGGGTATTTTTCTAGTGTTCCAATTTCTTCAATATTTTACTCTATTTAAAAGTCATTTTCAGACCAGTTGCAGTTTTGCTGGCAACATACATTTTAGCTTTTTAAAATATAATATCAAATTCATACTAATTTAATTCTAATGCAGTGGAGAATATTTGTACCTATTATATTACCACCCTTCCCAGATTTTGTAACCTTATTGTTTGATATACTGCCATTTATTTATATGTTACCAAACCCAAATGCATTCTAGTAATTATATAGTTGTGTGTATTATATAGGATATAGAATAAAGTAAAATCATGTCTGCAGAGTATTTGATTGATCCTCCCATTCACCATGTCTGATTTGCTCCATTTATTCCTGGAGATTTCAGTTGCTGTCTGATATCTTTACTTAAACTCTAAACTGTTTAATTTTTGTCCATGTCCTTTATGTTGCTGTTTTCAGATGTATGACATTTCAGCATACTGTAAGTCTGATAGCATATATATATATATATATATATATATATATATATATACTGTTTTATTATGCATTTCTTACCAGGAATACATATCCAAAGGTGTTTTTTTAAAATCATGTTTTAACTGAGATGAAATTCATATAATGCTAAACATATTAAAATGTAGAATCTAATGGCATTTGTCACACTCATCATGTTATACAACCTTCACATTCTTTAGTTTGAATTCTTTTTTTTTTTT